AGAGGTACTAAAAAAGAAATTAACTAGTAGTTACTATTGATCATATTGCCATCAACGTCTATTCCACGTTTAAACTGATTCAAAATCTTAATATTTCTTTTTTTGGTTATATATCTTTTTTTTGTTTTTTTAATACTTGATACAGTATTTGACTGTCACGTAACAGTGAAAATTTTTGGTAGTAACACGGAATGATATTTTGATGGTGCAACTAATCGATTAATCGACTAGTTGCAACTAATTCATTAAGTAAATAAATAATTTTTCAATCGACTCTGCAACTAATAATTAATTCTTAGTCGATTAGTTACAACTAATTGATCAGTCGATTAATTGATTAATCGATTAGTTGGTGTCTAAAAAGTTCAATCGATTAGTTGTCAATTAACCAACTAATCGATTTTCAACTTTCGATTAGTAACACTATGGCTGAGCTATCAAATCACGTACTCAACCGACCTCTGCAAAACACCTCAACTTTTTTGTGTAAAAATTATAAAATTATACTCTACACGTGATTTTTATTAAGTTTGAATTAGTTGTTATAAATATTTTGCTTATATATATCTGACATAAGGTCAAAAATGTCAAAGAACTAGTATTGACTCTACCAACAATTTTCCAGCATAATCTGGCGTAATTTTACATTGTTCCCAAACTTTAATCATTTCCTGTTGAGTTAGTAAATACGGTAGATTTTTCTTTGAATAGTCGTCTCTTATGTTCTCTACCTTAGGCTCTTTTTCAAATAATGCTTGTCTCAGAAAGTATCTAATTGAATTAATCAACCTCTTATCGATTTCCAAAGGTTTTACATAGAAAAGTGGGTATTCTGTCAAATTTACATGTACATGCCAAATGCCTTCTCGTTCTATTATTTTGTTTGCAAAAATTGAAAGAATCACATCTCCGACATTATTGGTCGCATTTGGAGGACCGATAAGACATGTGACATGTTCTGCAACGTGTGACTTTCCATGATCCACCGTTATCATTTTCCCGGCACAAACGGCATAATTTTTGTGTTCACCATCATTAATGATCAATGGAAAAAATAGGGAAGTTTTTGATTGATAAGCCCTGGTAGACTTGGAGTGAAAGATAGGACTAAGCGCTGTGGAAGTTTCAGGGCATCCATTAATGCCAGAAAATCGCAATTTTTTTAGTTCTTCCGGATATGATGAGGATCCAACTGTGAATGATGCTGCACCTGTATTGTTTATGCCATTTGCGCTATTTGCAGCACTATTGGTATCAGTCCAGACACCATTTTTGACTGTCCTTAATTTAGGCGCTAAAAATACTGCATCTGGTAAATGCTGTTCTATATTATTACATAGATAAGATTTTCTTCTCGTCCGATATCGAGAATGGGTCCACAGTGGTATAGCAGGTTTTGCGAATTCAACATAACTATATTCATAATCTCCATCAGAGTTTAATGGTTCACTGTCTGGATGTACCATTTTCTGTATAATTCCGATATCCTTTTCAAATGTTTCTACTAACACCTGCCTTGGTGGAAGGACTTTGGCAAAGAATTCAATTGTGTGATTGCGATTAAACTCTGGAGGGCAATTTTTGAAAATGCGAGTATCATTACATGGCGTGACTAAAAATAAATTTTGATGAAATGCTGCCATCAATAAAATTGTGAGAAGTAAAACGTTAGGCTCCCGTTGTAAGTGAACTTTTTTAGAAGTAATCTCATATTGACGGTCAAATACATTCATCCAAGGATTTAAAGTTCGTGAATTACTAGTTATTTGATAAAGAGGCGTGCTCTGTCTTGAAGCAAATTTATAATCCTCTAATTTATTGGCTGTTGATGTTTCAGGAATTAAGGTATCCTCCTGTCTCTCCCCTGATTTGGACAAATCAAGAATGTGAATAGCATTATCAATATATTGCTCAGAATCAAGGTCTGAGTACTCTGAAAATTCATCCGGTATAATAAGGTGTGGGTTATTTACACGATTTCTACGTATCTTGTCTCGTTCTT